CAGCTGCCATTGTCCTGACTGCTGGGCACTTCCCTTCCTAAGTGGGTGGACCCTGCGGGGCTATGGCCAGCCCCGTGCTGAGTCCCAACAAGCCTGTCATCCGGATTTAGGACGCTGCTGTGGAGCATGGTCTTCAACTCAGTGCCCTCGCTAGCAGGAGTCTGAAACTTGGCCCTTTCCCTGGACTCGCAGGATCGGCAGAAGGCACGTGGTTACAGGCCCCTCCAAGGGGTGAGTGGCCCCCACAAGCACGCGGCTAAGAGAACGGCAGCTGAAAGCAGCCAGCCCCTGATGGGAAGCCCAGGGTATCCCTGGACAGGGAGCAGGCAGGGGCCACCCCCCCCCAGGAGTGGGCCCTTGGCTGCCCACAATCACCAGGACACCCTGGGCAGCGCTGTCACCCTCCACCAATGAGCTCTGCGCCAGGTCCTCAGAGCAGCCTCCGTGGGGGGAGTGGAGGGTGCCGATGCCACAGGGCCAGCAGCCGACTTGGGGACAGGAGCAGGATAGACTGCAGTCTCCGGCAAATCCGAGTCTGTCGTGTAACTGACAAGCAGTTAAGGTTTATGTGCCCCATACGTTTAAGGCAAGTGGCTTAAATTAGGGCCATCTGGGGCAGACGACGGGGTCTCCCAGAACACAGCTCAGGGGGCCCCTGAATGCTCTGGAGATGGACCCGACACCATGTTCTGCGTGCCCAGCATCTACCCCCTAATCGGAAGCACGAAGAGTCGGGGAGACAGAGGCGCTGAGGATGCATCCCGCTGCCGCAGGCAGAACTTCAACAGAAAACTTCTTTTTAAAACCAAAACCCCAGCCCTACTGCAGCCTCAGCCCTTCTGCACCGGTGAGTCGCCACACCGGGATGAGCCACCCATGACAGCCCAAACCAGGGCCCAGAGGCCCAACTACTCCCAAAGGCAGTGGCGGGGTCCCTCTGGCGGGCTCAGCGCACGGCACACACGTCCAGGATGCAGAAGCGCGCGCGGCAGGTGGGGCAGGGCACACGGCTGGCCAGCCAGGTGTCGGGGCGCTGCGGGTCCTGGCGGCTGGCGAACCACTTGCCCATGCAGGTGAGACACCACATGGGGCGGCAACAGCACTGCTGACACTCGCCTTCGTCCACCTCCTGGCAGGTCTTCACCAGCCTCACGCTGGCCCGGGTCTGCATGCAGCCGATGCACGCCTCCAGGTCCTGCAGGCGGCCCAGGCAGTCAGAGGGAGCCCTGCCAGGCCGCCCTGGGGGGCCCCCACCGCAGGAGACGTGGTCCATGGGGGCCCAGCTGGGGAACCCCCCACCCCTGCCCAGCCCCCCACCTGGCTGCTGGGGACCGAGTAGGCCGGGTTGACCTCCACCAGGGAGGCGAAGGTCTCCAGGAACAGGTCGCCCAAGCTCTGGTGGATGACCACGTTGGCCGCGCTGCGGATGGGCGCCCGGAGCTTCTCACACAGCTCACCATACTCCGTGGAATTCAGCCTGCACGAGGTGTTTGCTGCTAGGTGGGGACCACCGGGTGCGTCTGCGGGGCAGGGCCGTGGTTCCCAGCGGGCTGGCAAGGACCCCGGGGCAGGCAGAGAGGCCAAGGCTGCGCCCCAGTGCGCAGGGCGCCCACAACCACACAGACATGGCGGCTCAGGCACAGCCCAGCAGCCAGCAGAGAGAGCCCTGGGGCCGGAGCCCACAAACCCAAAGCTGCCCACTGGCCCCCCGCGATGTGGGAGGGCAGGAGGGCGGGAAGACTGTAGCTGAGAAACAGAGAGCCTAGGCCTTGGCAGGTTCAGGCCCAGGGCATGTCCCAGGAGGGGCAGCGCAGGCCCGCCGCAGCCTGAACTAGACGGGAACACCTGGGCTCGGGCCCAGTCCTCAGAGCCGAGGGAGCTACCAAGCCTCTGTGCTACATGGCGGCCCCTGAACATCCCTCGCGTGCTCCCCCCGACATGCTGTGGAAGGCGGCTCAGAGCAGGGTGTACAAAAAAGGGAAGCGGAGAGTACCTGAGGGGGGATGGGGGGATGGGGGCGCTGAGGGAGGGGCATGCTGGAGGGGCGGCTGATAGAACCAGCTCCCACCATCATCACCTCCTGGAGCAACTCAAAGACCAGAACTTGGGCGCTGGCTGGCCACACCCACCCCAGCAACCCCAGCCTCACCCCCACCCAGCCGCAGGCCCACCTACCGGATGTCGAAGGCCGGCACGGCAGGGTTGGCACTGGCCACGCGAATGGTAAGGAGCTGCACGGGCAGGTTCGAGTCTGGGGAGAGGTCGTGCTGCTGGGACTCTGTCACGGTCAGGTGCACGTCCTGCTGCTGGGCCACGCGCACACGGTACGTGGTCACCTTCATCACCCACGTGTCTGTCACAATCACACGGGCACCCGGCGCCCCCGTGGCAAACTTGTCGATCCGCCGGAACTCGGTGTCCACGGAGGAAGCAACGGCCCGCCAGCCTGACTGCGGGAGGGCATAGTGGGCCAGGGTGCGGGCCAGTGGGTGGTGGGCCCACTGGTCCCGGGACCAGTAGTAGATCAGGGTGCAGGCGATGGTGGGCAGTGTCAATGCCAGCAGGAGGAAGACCCGCCAGGTCTCCGGGGCCTGGCTGGGGGAGTAGAGCCGCTTTTCTGAGGCTGCGAAGCACATGCCCACGTAGTAGCCTAAAACGGACGGGGCGAGCCTCAGCAGAGGTTGGGACTGCCACGCTCATCCTCCTCAGGTGCTACCCACCAAGGTCCACAGTGCTGTTCCTGACCCTCTGGGGGCAGGGGGGGGGCACACTTCCTTTAGCCCCCAGGCCTGGGCACGGCCCTCTGCCCTAGTCGGCCCCCAGAGCAAGACCACAGTGCCCCAAGGCAGATGGGCCCGCCCGTCTCTACAGCTGACTCACCTCA